GGCCTCCTTCCCCCCGACCCCCCTTCCCCGCCAGCACCCCGTCACGGGGCAGCTACTGTGCGATGAGTCTGAGGTCGGCAGACTTGAAAAAGCTCAAGTGGAAAGATGAGCAAGAAAGGAGGTTCTGGTCCGTGAACAGGACAGCTCTCGGGGTTCAAGACCAACCTAAGCCGCCCGGCCGGCGTGGCTCAGGGGTTGAGCGTCGACCTAGGAACCAGGAGGTCACGGTTCGATTCCCAGTCAGGGCACAGGCCCGGGTTATGGGCTTGATCGCCAGTAGGGGGCGTGCAGGAGGCAGCCGATCCATGATTCTCTCATCATCGATGTTTCTCTCTCTCTCTCCCTTCCTCTCTGCTGATTCTTTATCATCATTGCTGTTTCTATCTCTCCCTCTCGATTCCTCTCTGAAACCAATCAAAAATAAAAATGCAGGAAGCTAGGGCTTGGCCCCTCTAATTTGTACTGGGATCCAACAGGAAAAGAAAACTATTTCTGGTATTGAACACGGAGGGCACACAACAGAGAGCACTGTTTGCACAGCTGAAGGAGATGCTGAGAAGCCAAACAGAGAGCAGATAACCTCGGGGAAGAACACAGTAGGGAGCGTCTACGACTCCTCGGCTGGGCCAGGGGCGGTGGCCTTTTCCTGTGACGTCCGGACAGTCAGCATTTAGGCTTGTCGGCCACTAGGTCTCCGTCCCAAAGACTCCACACGGCCACGGTCAGCCCCAGACGGTTTAATATATATGTTTTTTATTGATTTCAAAGAGGAAGGGCGATGGGGAGAGAGAGAGAGAAACATCCATGATGAGAGGGAATCATGGATCGCCTGCCTCCCGCATGCCCCCTACTGGGGATCGAGCCTGCAACCCGGGTATGGGCCCTTGACCAGAATCGAACCGTGACCTCCTGGTTCATAGGTCGATGTTCAACCATTGAGCCACACCAGCCGGGCGCTCGAGATGGTTTATACACCAATGCATGCAGCTGTGGTCCAATACAGCTGTTATTTTAGAAAACAGACACAGGGCTGGGTTGGCCCGCAAGCTGACATTCTAAGCCCCTTGGGCCACAGAGATCAAAAAAAAAAAAAAGAGTAAATACTAGGTCCAGGGTCTCCCGGCTGAAGCTGAAAACCAGCTGGTCTGGCTAATGGGAGATGCAAAACGTAGACACACCCGACCTCCCCCTCTCCCACCCTGGGATCCTGCCGATTCCTCCCACCGCACACAGCCAGCTGGAGGCCAGCTGACGGAGGCCCGGGAAACCCTATCTGCGGAGGTCAGCCTCTGAACTAACAGAGGAACAGAGATAAAAGGATGTGCAGTCAAACAGGGCAAAGGTGGCACCGCTAGTCAACTAATTTCATACAGAAAAATGTTAGACCAGGACGGGGCACAGCTCTGACCCTGGGATCGCTGACAGATGACTGCAGGAGAGGGTGTGGGTCGAAAGAGGGGCTAGGAAAGAATATACACTTTATCTCGGTGCGAATTAACCAAAAGTAAAGGGAACACGGAACTAAAGGGGTGCTGTACTCGGCCATCGAACCTGTACAGACTCAAATACCTCAAAGGATGGCAGGCAGGTGTGTGTGAGTGTGTGTGAGTGTGTGTGCGTGCGCGCATGCAGATTTCTGAATACCCTCAGTAATTCATCAATTCCATTATTGCTTTTTTCCCATTAGACTCTTGCTGTAAAAGAAGTGACTGCTGTTAATTATTTATCTCTAGAACTGTTGCACACATTACAAAGAGAGAAGTGAGGTTTAGAAACAGATGGATTCCCAGCGAAGATTGTATGTAGCAAATATTCAAAAGGAGCCCTAACCGGTTTGGCTCAGTGGATAGAGCGTCGGCCTGCGGACTGAAGGGTCCCAGGTTCGATTCCGGTCAAGGGCATGTACCTGGGTTGTGGGCACATCCCCAGTAGATGTGCAGGAGGCAGCTGATCGATGTTTCTCTCTCATCGATGTTTCTAACTCTCTATCCCTCTCCCTTCCTCTCTGTAAAAAAAATAAATAAAACATATTAAAAAATATTCAAAAGGAGGTAGGCATCTGGTTCAGGCCATCTTACAACAAATTCTCGATGATCATCTTAACATGCTCATCACAAGATAAACGAAGGCTGTGGGGGACACCTGACCCTATATTTGAAGACGATCTCTATATTTAGTATATTAAAATCAAGGTTGGTGTAGGCAGGAAACTCTTTAGTAAAGAGTTTCGATATTTCTAACTCTCTATCCCTCTCCCTTCCTCTCTGTAAAAAATCAATAAAATATATTTTTTTTAAAAAAAATAAGTAATGATACAAGGATACATTCTGTTTCATATACTCGCAACTGTAACCCTACTTTTGCCAAACCCTGTAGTTTAAAAATACCAAGAAAGGTTCATCAAGGTACCTTTTTATTTTTCTTTTCTTTTTAATCCTCACCTGAGGATTTTTTTTCCCATTGATTTTTAGAAAGAATGGAAGGGAAGGGAGAGACAAAAGAGAGAGGAACATCGATTGGTTGCCTCCTGCACCGGCTGGGGCTCGAGCCTGCCACTGAGGTACGTGCCCTTGACCGGAATCAAGCCCGGGACCCTTCCGTCTGCAGGCCGATGCCCTATCCACTGAGCCACACCGGCCGGGGCTCACCCGGGTATTCCAACAGCTCTTACAGAGCAATCATCACAGCATCTCTAGACTTTCCCAGGGACTCATTTTCATGAGCCAAATGAGAAGCCCGTCGCATTTGTCTCTCCAAACTGCACACGCCAAGCCGTCAGGAATCAACCGACCAGTTGCAATTCGTCACCAATCCTGTGTCAACTGCATCTCAACTAAAGATCATCAGCAGCTTGCAGCGAGCTCTGTGGCTCTGAGGTTTTATGAAACACAGCTACGCGCTCTGGACATTTACGATGTCCCTGAGCCCAGGGCACTGAAGTCCAAATTCTAGAAACTATCATGGAAGGGAGGGAAAAAAAAAAAAAAACACCAAAAAAAACACAGACAACAGCTCAGTGTGAAGACAGCTCTGGAGCCGGGAAATAAATACTGCTCTCCGGGCCCCAGTGTGGCGCCCATATTTTTGATATCTTTATCCGGGCCGTCAACATTTTTTCTCTCCTCCTTCCCTGCTTGGCCCATTCTTCCATAACCTCTCCTGTCCTCCCCAGCTACACTATTCCCCAGGCTCACAATTTCTCTTCCCAGCCTTTATGTTCTCCCACAAACTGCCCGGGCCCGTCCGCAGGCCGGGGCTCCCTAACTACACATGGTTATTGATGTCCAGGCCCGTGTTTTAGTGCAGCACAGAATCAATAAACCGAGAAAATACTGCTTTGTCAGGCTGCGCCGGGGCAGGCAGGGAAGTTTTACTGCCTCGGATGGTTACAGCAACTCTTAAATGTGGGAGCGCCAGGGCCGGCCTCCCTCCTGCGGCCAGAAGTGAAGTTCTTCTCCCCTCTAGTGACTATAAAGGGAAAAGACAGGAGCGTGGAGGGAGTTCTGAGACGGTTTCACTTTATTTATTGGCTCTGCGTTTCGAACAGGGAGCCGGAGGTTTGGGCACCCAGGGAACTGGCAGGGGGACAAAACACCTTATCGTAGTTCTTTCTGAAAGGGCTCAACATGCAAAGGGGATATGCTTTAGGAAGCATCGGGACTTGGGGTGCCTTTGAATTTTATTTTATTTTATTGACTTTTTAAAATATATTTGTATTGATTTCAGAGAGGAAGGGAGAGAGAGAGACAGATATCAAGGGTGAGAGAGAATCATGGATTGGCTGCCTCCTGCACACCCCCTAGTGGGGATCGAGCCCGCAACCCAGGCAGATGCCCTTGACCGGCATCGAACCCGGGACCCTTCCGTCTGCAGGCTGATGCTCTATCCACTGAGCCAAACCAGCTAGGGCTCTTTTGAATTTTAAAAGACAAGGTTTCTCAAGTTTGCCTGTCTTCCTAAATGACTAGGGCTGGTCAGGTTACAAATCTCTCAATCTCTCTCTCTCTCTCTTTTCTCTCTCCCTCTCTCTTCCTCTCTGAAATCAATAAAAATATTTTTTTCTTATAAATTCACAAAGTCTTTGTCTCATTCTCTTTATTTTACACAGAAGGAAGCAGCTGAAATACAGTGAGGTCAGAAATCAGAGCCGGCATGTGTATTTGTGCAGGTGTTTGTGTAAATAAACGGATATAAGTAACCGACACAGCCCCCCCCCCCCCCCCGACCCCCCCACGCACACATAAACCACGGCCATCCCCCTGTGGGTTATTTCTCTTTAACAAAGCAGCCCGGCTGCTAAATGAAGTTTTAATTTTTTAAAAATGTCTTGTTGGTTTCGTTTCACGCTCCTTTAGGCATGCAGTCACTTAAGTTGCAAGGTGCTAATTTCATAACCTGATCACTCAGAATGCATTTCTACCTCGGTACCGACACTTTTTTACAAATTGGACAGCCGTGGACATAATTGCTTAAGTATAAACTAACCAAGTAAAAAAAATCACCAGTACTGGTATTAAGAAATACCTAAAGAATCTCAACCAAAAAGCAATAAGTGGTGTGTTGTTTTTTTTCCCCCAGAAGTTATATAAAACACGTAAAATCCTTTTCATTTATATTTTCTTTGTCCCTGTAACACCAAAGCTAATCTCTACCTAACGGTAAATAACTTCCTAAAAGACTCCATCTAGCTGCGCGACACCCCGAATAATCTAAACTTAATGAAGTGGAACGTTGCAGCGTGGCCGGGACATATACAATGTCACCACCAGAGCAAGGGGGCGTGAGTTCCAACATCTGGCCGTGCCCTTACTGAGTGAAATTTTAAAAGGGAGGTTGTGTCCCCCGGCCGAACAGCAGGGAGAGGAATAGAACCCGCTCCGTGGGAGGGGTCGGCGGTATGACTCACGTGTGCGCTTGTGTTTGTAATGAAGGTGCACTCCTGACCCAAGGATGTAAATAACACATTAAAAAAAAAAAACCCAAAAAACAGTGGTATTTACCTTGCCTCCGCTTATCCGCTTGCGATTCGACCAGCGCTGAGGATGGAGTCCATTGAATGGTGAAGAAGGGCAAAAGGAAAGAGAGAAACAGAATCGTTAGCCACACAAAAATAGCATTCTACTAGCTAGATGGTAAAGATGACATGGGAATGACGGACATTCCACCTTTGTCTGAGGTTACAGAGAAAACACGTGTGAGCAAGGAAACAGTTAGAAACAGAGAGAAATCACATATCTGCAGCCGTTACACCATTTGTCCACAGTACTTTCAACAAGGAACGCCCAAGGTCATAGAAATAGTGCTCCGTCCGTACAAGTCCTTTACACGTATGTTCTGAAACGCCTGGAAACAGTACAGTTTCACCTCTAAAAGGCAGCGTTCTCCTACTTGAAATATTCAGGTGAGGTTACAAAAATATTTAAAGAAATTCAGGGACAATGTGCGTTCATGTTTAGGTTTCCAGAGTTTTAGATACTAGAAAAATAATTCCGTTTACCTACCACGGATTAAGTCTCAATTTAAAAAAAAAAAAATCGGAGTCATTCCTACACAATGAAGAAAAATAGGCTAACACAGCTCTGAGGGAGAGAAGAAAAAAATTTCTGAACAGCAAGGAATTTCTCCACCGGTCTAAGGCTGCTGGATTGCGTAGACAGTTAAAATTCTCTCCTAGCAAAATCCTCTCCTTCCCTCCATCACTGCCCAGGACTGTGGCTGGTTAGCCACCTAACTGGATGTTCAAACTCGGATAAATTTGGGAGATTACAACTCAATTATGAGCCTGATGGAGCAGCCCACATTGATTATTATTGCTTAAGGAAAAAATACCTTTAGGCAAATGACCTGTCCATGCCACCCATACATCTTCCCAGTAAATTATAAACCAGGCAATATATAGTCTTTGGGGGAAATCCACTTATATTCATTCTAGTGACCAGCAACTAGAAACGTGGATACGGAAGTGACTTGAAAATATTCTTTATTTAAAAACACTTCTGCTGGTGCAACTGTGAGTTCAGCATTAAGCACGTGACATGGAGTTGTAGATATGACAACCTGGGTGCTAAAATTAGTTCTTTTTTATATTATCCCAGTAACACGTTGACATGTATTTCAACCCAAACATACATCAAAATTAATTACCATCTTAAAGGCACACAAGGCTAGTTGGGGCCTTTTGACGTATGACTCTTTTGATCTCTGTAATGATCATAAAAGACATAGAAAATGGATATGGATGTAAGTGCCGAATGACTGTTTCTGTCTGCTTACTACAATACGAAAGCTACCATATAGAGAGTGCCTACCCCATGCCAAACTCTGCACCTGATCATCTCAATCTTCGCCATTTTGTAAAATAACCTTTTTTTTTTTTTTATCCCCATTTCACTCATGAGGAAATTGTTGCTGAGAGGCGTTGGGTTAGTTTGTGAATTTGACCTGCTCGCTTCATTCTCAAAACTCTAAAATGTGGGAGCCAGGATTCAAACCCAGGGAGTCGGATGTGATTCTAACTCCAGTCCTACTTTTGCCAAGAAAAAGAGATACCAGGTTGGTCAGCTTTCCAGACATTCACCGCCTTTACCTTCTCACTGTGCTCTGCCCACATACACAGCAATCCACGCCTAAGGGTCAATTTATAGACATTTTGCACATGTTAAGGTTTTTGTCAGCGTGGTTTTAGAGCAACAGCGATTGCCTCAATGAGGATGGTAAGAAATATGGGTTCAACACTGAGAATTCAAACTGAACTCTCTCCATCAGACTTTTAAAAAAAATGAATTTATAAACAAAATATTCCCTATCAATAAATCACTGCCTTCCCAGTTTCGTGTTATGACTCCCATTTAAAAAACCAAATATAAAACTTTAGTAACTTAACTCAATTTTTAAAAATCCTCAAAAGGGAAAACACTCCATGAAAATACCTCCCTAGGTTCAGGGACCATGTGTAGAGTCATCATTCATCAAAAACATCCACATCTTTGAAATATGGGTTGAAATTGTTTATTGGAGACAAAGAGGAACCCCAATAAACAACGTACCATTGGTGACAGACTGAGCTGGAAGAACTGACTAAGGAAATTCAGAAACATCTGACTCAAAAATCAGTAAAACTATGTAAAATTGTCAGATTTTCCCTATCAATTGGTTCAATAAATATTTATTGAGTATATTTTATTTTTAAAAAATCCTCAGACATTTCCTTTTATATCCTAAAGGTCCCTGATAGGCACTTTGAGTCGAATAATTAACTACCCACAGCCCAGGATAAATTATTCCTTGCAGGGGTACACTTCGGTCAAGTACAGAAACAGAAAAATAAAACTACCAGTTGCAGGCAGGGTTTTTCCCTGCGTTGTAATACCCACAGAAAACATATATAAAATCAGTATTTTGCACACTAGACCTCTGCCAGACAAGCAAAGAACAAAGAAAATGAGAAAAGTACGTGAGCGAGCACATATCCAGCCTGAAAATTTCTCAAAAACAGCAGGTGGGGCCCGGCCGGTGTGGCTCAGTGGTTGAGCGTCGACCTATGAACCAGGAGGTCACGGTTCGATTCCCGGTCAGGGCACATGCCTGGGTTGCGGGCTCCATCCCCAGTGTGGGGTATGCAGGAGGCAGCCTAAAAGTGACTCTCTCTCAGCATTGATGTCTCGCTCTCTCTCTCTGCCCCGCTCTCCCTTCCTCTCTGAAATCAATAAAAACATAATCTTAAAAAAAAATTGGAGAGCCAAACCAAATAACATGACAAGTGTGGCTACTTTTAGGACTCTGGAAAGATATTTCTTGAGATGCTTTATATAAAAAAACAACAACTACAAAAACTCAAGCTGTATTGAATATTAATATCTCTGCATTTGAAATAAATTTTTTTTTAATTCTTAGTTAAGGAATTACAAATGTTTCCTTATTGAAATAAAATTTTTAACTAAGGTAACATTACTTTTGAACTCCAAACTTCGGCAATATTTAAATATATTGTAAGGGTCAGTGTCACTGCTAAACATAATCTAATCTGTCCCAGGAAAATTTACAAGGGGAATAAGTATGCAGCTAGTATGCCGCTTAAATATGCAAGTGTTTTCGTGGGGAAATTATCCAACTTTACAAACCCCACGTACACATGTAAGACATTATTGGAACCTATCAGCTAGCAATTGCTCACCCACGTGGCAAACGATACTGGCTCACATTCATGTACCTTAACCCGGCATCCAGCTCAAGTGACTGGTCACCTTCTGCTCACAGTGACACTGACTCAAGTGCCAATACTGCCAGGACTAAGAGCAGCCACAGAAAATTCCTTCTTCGTGACGTCAGCTAGAAAAATAGATTCATTTTCAACAGCAACTTGAAGACATTTCAACATCCAAACGTCAGCGTTAAAGAGGCCTCAAGTCTGAACGCTGACACTTTTTAAAAAATCGGTGGGTATTTTTTTCTCCGTCATTGTCCAGTAAATCCGCGTACGGTTTTGAATTAAAAATAGCAACTATTTAGCTGACCCTCTGGCATTTGAAAAGCCACAGTGCTGTGTTCCTGCTTCCTGAAGCCGTTTTTCTCGGGTCACCAGTAAATCAGTCATGATTGTCATCGTGAAAATAAGTTACAGCGACAAGCAAAGATGATGTCAAAATGAAGAATATTCTTGTCGCCGACCCCAGTGACTCAATTCGAGAGGCATTAATGGAGGCCTAATTTATAAACAGGCCCGATTTGAAACACGCTCCATTTTCACACAGCTTCGTCCCTTTTCGAGGAGGTATTTCGGCTGGCTTCAAAAATACCTTTCGAATAAGTGACAACCAAAGATGCTTTTTGATCTTATTTTAATTCTTGGAGTCTCATTATATGCTCTGAATATAAAATAAGATTACTATTTGCATTCACAGATGTGCTCAAAATGACAGAACCCCTGCCATAGCATCACAACAAACCCAAAGCTGTGTTGGTATTAGAGGAATTTGCACCAGGTTGTGCATCAGTTGGAAATGTCTATATAACGGACCACAGAACATTAAAATCTCTATCCTCCCAAAAGTACTCTCCATAGAAAACTTGGTGGCTAAAAGAAACAGAAACAGACATGCTTCAAATATATACTATACTGGGTCGCCTTAATAACGTACAACGCAGTAATTAAATCCTGGAAACTGCTTTTCGTGACTGAACAATACCCAAGTTCTCTAGGACCGAAGGAGATGCTAACTAAAAACCTGAACACTTAGTAAAACTGTATTTCAGATGATCTGCTAAGAGCAAACCATAAGCCACATACACATTTTAGTCATAGCAGCGCTATCTCTATCCCTAGCCCAAATAGGGAGAATTCTCTTTATTAAAATATACTTTATTGATTTTTTTTTTTTAAAGAGAGGAAGGGAGAGGGATGGAGAGTTAGAAACATCATGAGAGAGAAACATCGATCAGCTGCCTCCTGCACACCCCCTCCTGGGGATGTGCCCGCAACCAAGGTACATGCCCTTGACCGGAATCGAACCCGGGACCCTTCAGTCTGCAGGCCAGTGCTCTATCCACTGAGCAAACCGGTTAGGGCACGGGAACTCTTAATTGATTTTCTTTCCAGAGATCCAAAAGAGAGGATATATATGCATGTATGTATGTATGTATGTATGTGTGTGTGTGTGTATACACATACATACACACACCACAAATAAGTTCTTTAAGTCTCTGTTAAATTATTTGTTTCCCCTTCAAAACAATTACAAAAAAGATCAATCCATCTGGTCGCCCAGTGAGCCGAGGACGAAGGCAATGGAGGATTTCAAGAAGAAGAAAGTGGTGATACTCACGTGTCGCTTAAAGTCACCCTGTTTCACGACGAGGTTCAGGTTTAACACAATTACTCCCATGTCGTCTTCTAAACTGTTCGGGTCTTCCAATTTTAAAATATGTTCAGTCGTTCTACAAGCAAAAAAAAAGTAGAAAATCAAAACCAACGAATAATGTGAGCACGTCCTGGCCCACCTGTGTAGTCTTACAATACGTCAGAAACCCATGGTAAAAGCCTTCTAGCTCTGAATAAGGGTTAGACACAAGTTTAAAAAGCACCAAATTCAGGAAATAAAACAACCGCCTTCAAGGCAGAGGAATTGTGTGGCATTGCCGCATTCAACAGCTGGTTAACTGCTTCTCACCTCCCCCCGCCCCCCCAATAAAATGTAAATACTTGTTTTAATTTTAAGTCAGGTAGGTGAACAGAAACCTGAATATTAACAAGTGAGAATGAAAAATGCACTGCGCACGGTAGCATGTATTACGGAGGACTTCCTATCTGACAAGTACGTTGGGGAACTGAAAAGCAAAAATCACTCATCGAAGATATGTTCAGCCCTCTTGCATAGATGCAGACTTTTCTGTCATTTGATCTAAGCGAATGCCAGTTCACATGATCTCGAGTTCCCCCTAAAATTCATGAATAGCTCTTAGGAGGTAAAAGCGCAATACCTGTTCAGCTCAAGTTCGCTGAGGACGACAAACGCAGAGCCCATGAAATCAGATGTAGTTAAATCGCGATCATATACCTTTAAAAGCGGGCCAGGAACACACATTAATGCAGTAAAACCACGTCTCTCAGATTATTCATACATGTAATAGGCTGAGAACTTCACATTCGGTCTTCTAGCTCTAAAAATAATTTGCATAGGACAGTTCAAGAGGAATTTCGCCAAGCCGATGGAGAGGAGAAAATTATTCTAACTTGCCCATTTTGCCCGAAACAGCAACAAAATATACTTTTAAAAGTCGGTGTTCAGAGGCATTCAGACGTTATGCACAATGGACTCTACTCTCCGTCGTCTTAAACCGGCTCTCATTAAAATTTAGTATTTTTCATGGTGAGTTAGGTCTGCCAATTAAATAGAAATTTGCGAAATATTCTCTAGCAATCTCCTCCTGCACTCAACGCAGGCAGTTTTCACCCAGATGTTAGAGCAATTAATGCTTACAACCAGGAGCTTAAAGCTCTATTAAGTATAAAGTTATTCCTAATGAGAGAGGCTTTCGGACGCGTCGCTCCTGAACTGCCGGTAATAATTCTTCCACATCCGGTAAGTTTAAGCACAATCAGTGGAGATGTGGTTTCCACGCGGATGTTCTGTACCGTCTCTCTCTCATGGGCCTGAAAGAAATACACGTTGCCGGCGAGGCATATAGACAGCCCGCTGCCTGCTAGTATTTTTAACCCAGCGCTTAAGAACAATAAAAGAATGAATTTGGGGAGGTTCATTTTGAAGAGGGCAACGATCGGCCTGCAAGAGCAGATCTGAAAGCCGTCGGTGGTTGATTACCTTCACACGGAGCTTCTGATCAAGGCTCTGTATTGGCAAGACAACGATCTCATCCCAGACCGGGTTCAAGTTCTTATATATGACTTTACTTTTGTACAGCGTCTTCCCGTTCAGCTTAAATTTCACGTAGGGATCGCTGGTGCCTTTAAGAGAGAAAGAGAGAGAGCTAGACAGGTTTGTGTGCGGTTTGTTTTTCAAATGTACGCAAACGCCTGGGGTCTCTCCATTAAGTAAAGTTTCTTTCCACACTCCCGGAGCTCAAAGCATTTCATCGCGCGCACCCAGAATGGATCTGTCCCTGAGCCACCCCGAAGGCCCAGAGGTGGGGAGCAGGGACATACGAAACAATTTGGGGTAAAGGACGGATTCGTCTGTGTCGTCCGTGGTGGAATATAAACGGGCTCCTTGAGCTCTTTCTGTCTTGTTTCATTGTGGGCATGTCATCGCCACACTGCCCCCCAAAACTCGCGCAATCAAATCCCCTGGCGATGTTGGGAGTCCTGGGGAGAAGCCCACCTCTCTTTAAGAAAGGCTGGGAGGCAGTGAAAAGGGAAAGAAACGACTTTTGGATGTGTTTTTTCTTTTGTTCTGTTTTGCAAACATTTGGCCAGATGGCGGACTCGACAGAACCCTGTATGTCAGAACATAATCATAATAAATCGATCAATCTCTGGGACCCCTGGCTCAAAAGATGGGGCGAGGGGATGGAGCCTGGAACCGAGGGCAGGGCGGGGGGGGGGGGGGTCAAAGAGATTAAATGGACAAAGTTGCCATTCTTTGCTGCCTCCCGCACCTGCAGGGAAGCAGGGAGCATTGTTTGGGCCTGGCCAGCTGAACGCCACACCAGCCAGGCCCTCCGTGGGCCGGGGCGGCACCCCTGACCTGCCCGCCCCTCCCGGGGAGCTTTGAATCGGACGCCAAAAGAAATGAATAAAGTCCCTCCAGCCACGGTGTCCAAAGCAGGAAAGAGGGCCGATGACGGGCCCTCGTCCACACTTCTGAGATCAATGGAGAAGGGGGGCGGGGGGTGAGAAATGCCTGCCAACATTATGCCTGGGTTATGTGTGGTGCATGTGGGTTACATGCATGCAAGTATGCCATCATGCCTGGGACACGTAACAGAGACAGGAACACATGGGCATTAACACCTGGTGAATTACGACTAAAGAGGGCTTAAACGAACAGCCAGCTGGAACGGCCACAAAGGAAGAAAAAAGTCGAATTTGGGGTTATACTGTCGTAATTAATTGTGAAACAGCCTTAGATGGTTTGGCCCAGTGGATAGAGCGTCGGCCTGAGGATTGAAGGGTCCCGGGTTCGATTCCGGTCAAGGGCACGTGGCTGGGTTGTGGGCTCGATTCCCAGTAGGGGGCGTGCAGGAGGCAGCCGATCCATGATTCTTTCTCATCATTGAAGTCTCTGTCTCTCTCTCCCCTCTCCCTTCCTCCCTGAAATCAACAAAAATATATTTGAACAAACAAGAGCTATGAATAAGTACACAAAGACCCCTGATTCACCACAGTACCCCCACTATGGGTACTGAAGTGAATTCCTGATATTAACAGCGAGCCAAATAGCCTAAGTGTATTCGATCAAAAATTAGGGAAAGTTACTCTGTCATTAACACGGGCCAAGCTGTTAATACCCATCATGAATTACTTGAACCGGTTACTTTTTTAACTCCATTTTTTTTCCCACGTTTCTATTTAGCTGCAGAATTAAAAACTAGTGAAAAATGAAAGTAATGCCTTTCCCAACTATTTTCACCCAATGCCACGTGCCTATAGAGCAGTGGTTCTCAACCTTCTGGCCCTTTAAATATAGTTCCTCATGTTGTGACCCAACCATAAAATTATTTTTGTGGCTACTTCATCACTGTCATGTTGCTCCTGTGATGAATCGTCGTGTAAATATCTGATATGCAGGATGGTCTTAGGCGACCCCTGTGAAAGCGTCGTTCGACTGCCAAAGGGGTCGCGACCCACAGGTTGAGAACCGCTACTGTAAAGCAAGATGTTATGTGCCTACTGTATCACAAGCCTTACCAGGCAGGCACAGGGATCATTTTGATGTTCGTCTTCTAATCTCGCAAGGCTGCTAACTTTAAAGAAAAGAGACGACAAGGACCCACGCAGACATATCAAGTGTCACACTGTCAGTTTGGCAACACGGGGCCGGCAGAAGCCCAGCTGCCTTTAGTTTAAACACGGACACACATACACACACACGCACACGCCAAGTTAAGTGCAGTTCTGGGCGGGATTGTAAAAATGAGCCCACTCACAGCCACTACCCTGTGAGCAATCTGCCCCCCACCCCCCCCACCCCCCTGCAAGCCGGACTGTAACCATCATTCTGGTATCTCTCTCTATATAAATAAATAAAAAGTGGGGGGAAAACTCTAATAAAAAGAGGCCCTTAATTAAATGGAAGTGCCACTGTGGGATCGGGGCTTCATGCTTGTCAGCACTCTCTCCAAATAAACATCTCAAACCCAGGCCTCGCTGGTACCCCCCTGCTCCCCGGCAAAGCACCCTGGGTAATCCCCAGGCACCCTGACAGCCACATAATGTCCAAACTGTTTCACGGGTGAATGGCGGCCGTCGCGTGAAAGGAGATCTTCATGTCTGGGATTCGCCGAAGGGGGGGGCCGGGCCTCACGGAGCCCGGCGAGGAAAGAGGGGGGTCAGGTCCATCCAGCGCGGCGTTAATTGTTTGGGAAAATCCGAGAAAGGGGGGGCAGCAGGGTGATCTTTTTTTTTCTCTCTCTCAGAGCCTAAGTGCCTGGCTGTCAGGGATGAAACATCTCAACTAGGCAGGCTCTACAAAGGGGTCAGCCGCTCCGAAAGGCAACTCCCCGATTATACAGATGACGAGATGACACCTGAATGGGTGGACTTTAACCTTTTTTCACTGGGAGCTTCTCCGTCTACAATGAGGCTCTTGGGAAGAAGGAGGTAGGGTGGGGCCTGGGGAGGGGAAAGATGCTAAGAGGCCGGTGACGGTGCCTCCGGGCTGGGGTGCCACTGATTCTGCCATGTGGACCCCAGGGAGTGACACAACCTCCAGTTCCCAAAACCAAGGCTGCCCAAGCAGGTGTGCTCAGTGGTTAGAGCGTCAACCTGAGGCCTGAGGGTCCCGGGTTCGATTCCGGTCAAGGGCATGCACCTCGGTTGCAGGCTCCTCCCTGGCCTGGGCCCTGGTCGGGGTATGTGCAGGAGGCAAACTATTGATGTGTTGCTCTCACATCGATGTTTCTCTCTGTCTTTCCCTCTCTCTTAAAACAAAATATCAATGGCCCTAGCTGGTTTGGCTCAGTGGGTAGAGGTCGGCCTACGGACTGAAGGGTCCTGGGTTCGATTCCGGTCAAGGGCACATTGGGTTGTGGGCTCAATCCCTAGTGTGGGGCGTGTAGGAGGCAGCCGGTCCATGATTCTCTCTCATCATGGATGTTTCTCTCTCTCTCTCCCTCTCCCTACCTCTCTGAAATCAATAAAAATATATTTAAAAAATAAAAGTAGAACCAACAACAAATGAATAATGGTACTGCCTGTTTTTTCTCTATTTCTAACATTGGAGTAAATCATGTTTTAGTGACCTACATTTCTAGTTCTTGGTCAGGAAAATTCTTGTTCAGATCGCCGCCCCTTTCTCTATGGGTGTATGGTTCACAATTTGCTTATGAATTTGAATGGGTCCTTCATTATGGAAATCAGCCATCGGCTATAGAGATCACGTCATACTCTGTTTAACTTTACGTGACTTCTTGCAATAAGTAATTTTCATTTTTATTTGGGCAAATTTACAGCACTGTAGTTTGACATTCTGCTTAGAAGCAATTTTCTCTACGAGATTTTAAATGAGTTCCGCCATGTTTCTTCCACTGATTCTGTAGTTTCTCTCTCTTTTTTTTTGTTTTGTTTTTTACACGTAAGCCTTCGGTCCATCTGGAATGACTTGGGTGGGAGGAGGGAAGGGAATTCGGGTTTGCTGATGAGCAGGAGAGGAAAGTGATCGGCGCCAAGCTGCAGAAATATAAATCTGGCAGCAGCTTATAACTCAGAAGGCAGGAGAAACCGGCAGCAGCAGGGGAACCTGGGAGTTGAGAGAACAGAGCACCGGGGCACGGAGCACGTGGATGAAAGAGGCCCCAGGCCCCAGACGGGAGAACCCCGAGTTTCACGTGGAATGTTCACCTCGAGACATGCTCCTTCGTGGGGGGAGAGGGTGACGTCCCCGAAACCAGTGGGAAAGGCTCTTGACCATTTTCTCACTGAGAGCTTCACACCATAGACTAAGACATTCAACTCTGCAAGAGCTGCATTGAAGACAGGCAGTCACAACAACAAAAGCTGAAAACCTCTCTACTTTGTATCTCATAAAATTATTATTATTATTATTTTTAAACCTCATGCGAGGATAATTTTCCAGTCACAACAACAAAAGCTGAAAACCTCTCTACTCTGTATCTCATAAAATTATTATTATTATTTTTTTAATCCTCACGCGAGGATATTTTTCCATTGATGTTTAGGGAGAGTGGAAGAGAGAGGGAAAGACAGAGAGAAATATTAACATGAGAGAGACACATGGATTGGTTGCCTCCTGCAGGCGCCCCGACCGGGGCCCAGGCCGGGGAGGATCCTGCAACTGATGTACTTGCCCTTGACCAGAATCGAACCTGGGACCCTTCAGTCCGCAGGCCAGTGCTCTATCCACTGAGCCTAACCAGCTAGGGCTCTCATAAAGTTATTTTAACATCGAAAATGTTTGGCTGGGACCATCTATGACCGTAATATTAAACTTCTCTGATTCAAAGCTCTGGAAGGTAAATCTTATGCCCAGAATTCCCTACTCTGCATGGTGGATGTACCACAGATAGGTGACGCGTGAATGGAAGAACTCTGAATGAAGATGGGAATGGTGGATCTAAACCCCTGACCTCCCTTTAAGTGATGGTATCACCTTTGGCAACTTAACACATAGCGGACCAGCAGTTTCATGGCCAGCTTTACCCAGTGGCCAGGCAAGTTTCTATTGAACGAGAACAAAAAACTGAAAACCAGCCCTAGCTGGTTCGG